AAGAATACACGGCGCCTAAACCCAGAAGACGACTTTCTTCTTTGTATGTTATTTCTCAACCAAAGTTTTGCATATATTTCTCATATCACTTTTTGTGCTACATGTCCAGCTCACTGATGTATTCATCATAACAATACTTCCAGTGGGGCCATGTCTTAATGATCCCTGACCTCACATGTATGTGATGTAGCAACCCCCAATTTGAACAGCAGAATGAAACACTTTTTTTCAGACATTCATTTTGACTACAAACGTCAAAACATGAAAATACTGCCAAGGGTACTGTGGTAGTAGAATATGTTAAAAAACAGAAGTTTTGGCTGGAATTCTACCTGGCTGAAACACAACTGCTGACCAATGCCACTGTGAGGTGAATAGCACTGAGAACTGATTGGGGAGGGGGGGCATTACATATTGGTTGGACTCTAACGAACATTACAAATTCTAAAGTTTCTTAAACCAGAAGANCTCATGCAACCAGTACTTGCATATAACTCCTTACAGATTGTATATAAGATCTTGTCATTTAATGTGTACATGTTTCAGAATGTCACAGCATGTAGCCCTATAAACAACAAGACACCATATAATCTGTAAAGGGTTATATTTGTGCATTAGTTGTGTAAGATGGTACACATACATTTATATTTTATATAGAGAAACACAACCTGGCACTCAGATATATTATTTCTGAAATACTAGTTGACCACCGAAGTCACAGTGAACTCACCAGTTATCATACTTGGGTAATGGCTTGATTGTTCCTTGTTGCAACATAAGCCTTAACAAGAGTGAGTTCTCAGCTTCAGATCCATCGCAAATGTGGACGCTACTGGGCTCACACAGTGATATGTTTTCCTCAACATATGTTCGTACCTGTACATAAGCAGAACCCATATTTAGAGAGACTGTATCTTCAGTGATTCTACACACAAAATGCAATTTTTATATGAATGTTTTGTGCCAGGGTTAATGGTTGATTGCTACTTAGAGCTGTGTGGAGTTTTTCAACTGACATAATAATCTAGGAGTGACAGTATAAGACAAAACATCTACTACAAACTGATAATATGGTAGAAGTGGTAAAGAAATATCAGTTAAATTAGAAATATGTAAATAGAATGCAAGACAATATTCTGACAAATTTGTATGTAAATTTAATTCATATTATATAGTTAAATTCCTAAATAAAATTGGAAGATGCTGATATCTAAAACCTGGAGTGAAGAAAAGAAGATAAAGGTCTAATTATAAAGGACAGGGATACTTGGGAAGACACAGAGATAGATAGAAAGATCAGTTTTAAAACTGCTAAACATCAGAAGTTGCTTGTACCATGCAGCCTTTAAGTTGGAAGAAGCAGAGAAAGAACTTGAATAACGAGAGGCTGAAAATGATGACAAAGAAGAAATCCAACGAATAAAATATATTTGAACAGTAAATTTTGTACTCAGGCTATTATTCTCATCATGATAAATGACTTGCCATGGGAAAGTAATGGAAACTAGTGGCAAATATAAAAATATGTGTGTGACGCATATTGGAACCATACAGGCAAATGGTCACCGAATGTTATATTTAATATATATTACTGGGGATTTGGGAATAGCCTTTAAAAGAGTCATTGATAATATTATGAAAATGTGTCATAATTGTCTGACTTACAAAGATTACTACTGTTACATTCCATATATCTAAAACAGATTTCTTTAGCATCTGTTTGAATTTCATCTAAGAAGACACTTAACCTTGTATTCTTTGCAGAGATCAACTTACATACATGTACGTTTACAGAATGTAACACCATTAATAAGATGCTGTACTTGCTTATTGAAAAATGTTTTTTTTTTTTTACTTATTTAAAAGTGTAAATTCTCAATTTTGTTGTGCACATTAAAGGAATTACAATATGAGGAAATCTGCTAAGCTCAAACAGTCCAAATAAATCAAGTGAATTGTGTAATGGACGTCTGTACACTAATTAACCTGTTAGCTCAATTTAACTGTATGTACCACTTACTTAAACATTAAGAAATCCTGCATTTTTCCTAAAGAGTGTATTTATGTGTTTCATTTGATTCTTAAAATAAACAACAAATATTTTCCTAAATAGCATTCACAGACTGATCTCTGTAATGGAGAAGCAGTATGATTTCTGTGATGCAGGAACTGAGCTTTTAAATGTTGGTTGGCTTTGAATGCAATCTTTTCAAAACGCTCTCAGGCCTGCTGGCTTGTAACACTAATGATGTTAACGAAGGGACAAAAGACAGAAGCACACTCATGGTTCAGAAAGAGGAGACCAACGTTTCACATGATAACACTTCTACTAAAACACACAGAAGAGGCAGAATAAGGTTCTTGCAAAATTAGGAAAGACAGAAGGACCAGTACATGCATTCACCACACTCATAGGAATCATCCTGATATTCAGTTATGTTCAAATAGACAATATTAGCATATCCCAAGATATCAACCAGACCTATGAAGCTCTACAAAGAGAACCACTCAGACCGTTGCTGTTCAATATCACAGCCATGGGCGTGGTGTAACAGATGCAGGGAAACTTCAGATCAATAAAGTTGAATATGTACACAAATGATATGGCCACTATATCAGCATACAGACTTAATCTGCAGGATGTCTTCAACAATATTGATCTATAGGGCAATAACAATGACTTCACAATCAACAAGGGTAAAACAGCAACCAGGGCATTCAGGAAACGATGGAAAATAACAAATGTAGATCTCTCAGATACCTCAACATAACCCTACAAACTACTGGGCAAACATTCAAGGCTCATGAAAATTTCTATCTTCTGGTATATGTCACCATGTAGTCCATTGAAAGTCAACTGTTATTCTGGGGGAACACGTCACCTCTATCTTCCATGTCATAGAAGGAGCCAAGCAAGAAACCAGCAAGAAGCAGGTAGCAACCTAAGCAATCCACTTGCCAAAAGTTTGGGTTTAGACAGCAAATAGGAGGAAGTTGTAAGACAATTCATCAGTTCTCATTTGTTCACTTACAGAACAGAATGAACCAAAAGGAGTACAAGACAACTCACCAGTTGTCATTGGCTCCCTCACAGAATAGAGTGAACCAACAGGAGTCAAGGCAAGGATGACTAGTGTCAGCCCTGAAAAAAGGCCACTAGTGCATATGTGGGAACATGAAGGAGATAATTAGTAAGGGTGTGGCAGGCAGAGAATCAAGGATGCAAGAGAAGTCATGTGCGTATGTCACAGGCATGACGAGGTCAGCATATAAGGACATACATGGCCCTGCAGAGAACCCATCTATTAAATCCTGTGAGGGAGGATTCCTACAATCTTTCACAGCAGATGAGAGGTTTCCATGACTTACTTAGGCAGAAGCCATCTTCCTGTTGATATTATTAGGATGAAGTTCAATCTCAGTCACTTCCTTAAGGATGCAATCCATGTATCTGGGTTTGGTGGACAGGATGCTAGTATTATGTAGCTTGATGCAATGCTCAAGTTCATACTGTGCTGCACTATGGCTGCCTCATCCAGAAGCTCCAGCCAGATATGCCAATGGTGCTCCATTAGCCTGGTGTCAATCACACGGCTTGTCTGTCCATTTCACAGGGGATACTGTATACTCTCATTGAATTCAGTCCCAGGTCATCATTGACTGAATGAAGGCCACCAGAGGCCTTCCTCAGGAGGAGGCCAACCAACTTGGTGTTGTTCCAGGACAGAACCATGGTAATGTGGTTGAAGATCAACCAAATGTAAGGCAGGAAAGTGATTGAATCTGGCTTGTTGTTAGGCAGGTAAACCTCCACAGGAGGATTTAGAGCCCTGTGAATCTGCTGCTCACTGTAGCCATTCTGCCTGAAAATTTCCTTCAGACACACCAGCTCCACAGTAAGGCATTCTATCCCAGAAGATGGAACATTTCATAACTACTGCTGTGTGAACCTCAACTCCTTCAGTCAAGGTTCATGTACATGAAAGGATGGTGCTAACTCTCAAAGCCATGATAGAAATGAAGAACATAATTTTCCTTATCTCTGGTAATTTCAGTGAAGCTTTCTGATCTGAAGATACTACTGGTATTGGCATATGATCCGGAATTGATATTGGAACAACCAACACAGAAACACTTTGCAATGTTGAAAGGTATAAATGAAATCTACCTGAAGGCAGTCATATGCATCTCAAAGTTCATGCATTTGCCCCTGGCCTTCCTAATCAAAGAACTCTGGACTCAATTCCTGCTGCTAGTTACAGGCTATCAGACCAACTCTCAAAGAAAATAAGACATAAGAGAAAACCTATATGGTCAGGGTCTCATGGGTCTGATTGATTGATTCATTCATTTATTTACTTCCATGGATCCTTAGACAGCGAGAACACCAGTGGATTTAGAAATAGTCAATGACAATAGGACAAGTCATGTTAATTACATAACTACAAATTAATTATACTTAATCCATCACAATTAATCATATTATCTGAGACAAATCACAATGAATAGATCATTAAACAGTTACAAAATATTTGTGTTCACTATATTATATAGGTATAAAGGCATTTAATCGCTTACCTCCTTGCATAAAAAAATTGTCTGATAATAAGAATCAATTTAAAAATACTCTAAAAAAATCTATAGAATTCTTTTTATTCACTGAAGGATTTTTTTATTAGTAGTTATTACTAATTTTAATGTGAATTTTTAAGGTTTCATGTATTATAGGTGTTTTATTTTGGCATAAATATGTTATCATCTACCTTTTGGTATGATGATTTTTTACAATATTAAATTTAAGACGGTGTTATGTTTAATGTTAAAGTACGAAGATAAACGGTTTGGTTTATTGTTTGATCTGACCTATGCTTATTTTCATAGCATGTGTATTTTAGCTATTGGTTCTATATCCCTCAGGCGTGTTTGTAGCCTAGATTGGATCAACGGAATTTTACAATGGAATAAACAAATAAATAAATAGTGTATATAAAAGCACGTATCATGCTAATCTCAAATGAGACTACAATACTAAAACATAAAAATAATAATAATTGTAAATAGTCCAAGATCATTTGAAATATTAAAATTAAAATATTCTTCCAATGACTAAAATAAATTTAGAAGAATAAATATTTTTAAGGCAAATTTAAAATGTTTCACATAATAAGCTAAGTTCTTTAAGCTAGAAGAAATACTATTAAAACCTTTGACTCCAAAATAATATGTTCCTTTTTGGAATACTGTTAAATTACATATTGGATAATGGAAATTGTTATTGTGTCTTGTATTAATGCTATGAATCTCAGAGTTAGATTTTTCTCTGTTTTTAACCACAAATAATAAAAGAAAAAATACATACTGTGACTGGAGGGACAAAATTTTCAGTTTCTTAAACAAATTCCTGGAAGAGTTTCTACTTCTAGAGGTAGTAATAATTCTAACTACCTTTTCTGTAGCCTAAAAATATGAATACTATGGGAAGAATTTCCCCAGAAAATTATACCATAAGTCATAACAGAATGAAAATATGAACAATAAATCATTCTATTGTTTCCTGTAAGATATAAGGTTTAACAGCCCTGATTACTTAACAGGCTGAACCTAATTTGGACATAAGCCAGTCAACAAGTCCTTTCCATGACAACATATTGTCCATAATTAACCCAGGAAATTTGGTATTAGTAGATCCTTGCATATATAACCTTTCCAACAATTTTTGTAAAGGATGTTAATAATGACAAAGGTCTGTAGTTGACATGATTAACAGGCTTCCACTAAAATGTGTGAAGAAGGAAAAACTACCACACCTCCAATGAGAATTATGTTTGTGTCCTGTGTGAGTGTGTGTGCCATCCTGATATGCAGGAGAAAGGCACAGTCACTGAATGAATAAAGCAATGATTTATCATGTGCACTGTGTGAACTTCTACACACTGTTATGGTAATTATTATTCAGAGGAATTTCAGACTTCAAATGATTAATGGAATTGTAACAATTAATAGCAATTATTTAATATCAGATAAGAGGATGACTCTGTGAACTGGAAAGGTTATGGTAAATTTTAAAGTGCCATTATGGCATCTGCCCATAAGGCTTGAGGAAAACTGCTATCAGAATGGATTGTAGTTCAGCCAAATCTCCAATCACGTACTGCTTGAATGCATGTCAGAAGCACTGTCCCTTCAGTCAAACTACTTGATGAAAAGTGTGGAGTAATACCCAATGAAGAATTTAATTCTGAAAGAGCTGAAAATCCTATTTTATTAAATAGGTTCACAAACTGATTAAGGATTTTGGCACAGATACTGGTACTTTTATTGGGAATTTTTCAATTTGCAATTAAATTGTCACTTTTCTCACATGTAAATGTTTCATAGCAGGCTTGAATCTGTATACCCCTCCCCTTGTTAATTTGATTAACATAATTAATTTATCAGCACTGCAATTTCAGTACAATGGATCTGCTTGCTCACCTTGGGTGAGAGTGAATGCAAGTCACCATGGGAGATGGTAATGCCACGGAGATGGTTGTATAGTCCTACATTAGGCTGTGACAGCAACTTCGTGTACCTGGATACTGATGACACATATCTGGAAAGAAACACAATCATTAATGTACAGTATTGTTATACCTATTAGGGTACTAACTTTTACTGCATTTTATTATTATAACCATTAGTATGCTTTATTGTTGTAATCATTAGTGTACTTTATTTTAATCATTAATGTATTGCATTGTTACAAACATTAGTACACTCTACTGTTGTAAACATTAGTGCACCATATTGCTATACACCTAAGTGCACTGTACTGTTGTAAACATATGTGCTACATATTTTTACATACGTGATTTCACTGTATTGTTATAAATATTAGTGTACAATATTAACATATCATGTTTAGCTTTGCTTGCTGGAAGATTCTGAAATACTTTTACCAGCAATTACTTTCAGGAAGTGCACTGAAAGCATTCATTATTTTACAGGCTCAAATATCATCTGAAGGATATCTAGATTCCATTTTGGGAGGTGTTTTGAGAAGTCCATCAGTACGAAATACATTTCTTACATATACACATGTATCATCTAAGTGCATGGGGAAACCCACCCCCTCTATACTCAATACTCAATACACATGTATCAGCTGTGGTGATATACATGGTGGGCCCTTTAAACACATTTTATTTTGTAACTAAACTATTCTAGAAAGGTACAGACATTTCTGAGTGTGAGGTTATTTCAACCCGCAACTCTATATGGCCCTGACTAGTGTATTTAACGAGTATCTACCTACCAGATTATACCACGTTGTAATGCATAAGACAAACTGTGAAACCAAACCATCATTAAAACCTCATATATTACATTAAGTTCTTTCATAGTTTTCCTCAGTCTCTCTAGTCAAAAGACCTAAATGAAACCACATTGCTTCGTTCCAAGTTCATCAGTAAGAATTATTCAATGCTATATAGCTTACACAGTTTAGAACATGACACTAAGCAAACAAAGGTACTATATGAACACTTGTCATCTCATTAGGTCTGGTAGAAAGGTACCAATAGTTTGGACAAGCCTCCATCTTCAGGGTAGGAGCATTCTCTCATTTCCTTGTCTATCCAGCACATGGATGAAGCAGGTTCCTCCAAAACACTGACACCTTTCTGCCAAACTTCACAGAGTTAATACCCAGAAGACTATAATATTCTTATGCTCAGCTGCATGAACCACAAATCTTATGTAGAGGTTTTTCATAGTTTTTCTCAGTTCCTCTAGCTAAATATCTTAAATTAAGCCACTATCCTTCCTTCCCAATTTCTCATTCACGGTTATCATCAAATTCAACATCAAGTAACATACACAGTTTGAAAGGAGTCATTAACTAAACAAAGATTCTATGCCCACATCTTTGAGGGAGCATTATTATCAGATAGTGGCATATATCATAACATCACCATCATATTGTTACTAACACCTATTTTAAAATAATAACAGAACCCAAAATTGCACAAATATTTTTTCTCCCCCCCCCCCTCTCAAAAGTATGGCATAATTCAGAGTGTTGTAGGTTGGGTCTGAAATTCTCACAGCTGAAATTATGCAGAGTACTGTCTTCTGAGAAGTGACCCCTGGTAATCCATTAGTTTATGGATTCGTTGTTTCCTTAGCATATCTTCATCCCTGAAGACAGAGGGTGAATGTTCCTCCAAAATGTCATCAAACTTCTACTGGAGTACACCGAGTGAAAAGATTCTGGTGCTTGTGACTTTTTTTGCAGGAGCATGAGATTGAACCCCTTGGTACTGTGACCCCAAATGGGACAACTATACCCAGGCTCTGATGGGATTCTTATTCCAGCCCCTGAGGATGAGCCTAGAACTTTGGTGGAATGATAATTGGCAAGTCAAAGTCTAAGTGTTTGTCCACCACAAATCCCACATGGGCCATCCTTGGGATGCCTCCTGGTGAGAAGCTGGCGACTAACTGCCTAATGACAAACAGACACACTATGAAGAGTGCCATTTTCTGGGATGTGATGCCAAGTAGTCTGGTAAAAAATATCCCTGAAGATATCAATCTTTATAATCCCCGCTGTGAGAACCGTAAATCCAACAAAGGTATTATTTCCATGAGCTATTTTACTACGCTGTCAACAGAGTCAAACGTTAGTGATAAGATGAATGATAAAATAGAAAGGATTTGGAAGGAAGCAGTCATATTCTAATCGAGGTACTGTCCACATATTTCCCGGGAGGAATTGAGGAAAATCACGAAAACCCTCAGTCAGAATAGACGCTGTCCCTGCCGAGAATCGCCGAGCACCTTCCGCATACGAGTCAACAGCTAAGATAACAGTAATCTGTCAAGTTATGTTGATATCACTGTCGTCAGCGGGTCTCAGCAAATACCCACCGATCGTATGTCCTGAAGCAATGCTTAACGATTAGTGACGTATTCCATAAATGATTTAAAATGTTCATGTTCCGTGCACACAAACTTCCGATTCTTCCTGGTCGATAGCCGTCAGTTGAATCTTGATGCCCAGTTCCTGTGGGAAACAGAACTGGCAGCTGACAACCTTACTCCGCCCCTGTCCCTATACCTGCAGCTGCCTCCACAGTAGAGGGGATCAGGGTAAGGTTCATTCTCCCCCTCCGCCGACCACATTATGAAGCACTTCGGAGAGAGTTTATCGGCCACGGACGGCATCAGTCTCCAGAGTACTATTGTCTGGTGCGGGACACCATGTAGTCTGGTAGAAGTTTACCGACATTGGAGGAACGTTCAAGGTCGAAGAGAAAGCCAAGGAGGAAACTAACAATAAGCTAGAAAGTTCTGCTTGGTTGTAGCGGTAGCGCTGTTGACTTGTATTCGCGAGGTAACCTGTTGGAATCCCGGCGAGGACACGGACTGTTCTGGCTCATATTTCTTGTGGTTTTCTTACTTCCTCAAGGCAAATGCCCTGATACTACCTTCATTAGGCTACAACAGCTCCTTCCAAATCCTTTCCAACTCATCATTCTCCATTCTTCCTACCATACTGCCCTGTGTAGCCTAAATACTGACAGCATTGTAAAGTAACCCACAGGTCAACCGTGAGTTCCTCCGGAATCAGACTACACGGTGTCACATCGCAGAAGAACGTATTATTTATATTCACTGGCTCGAGAAACTCAAATCAAATATAGCATATCTCTGTTTACATCATGAGACGTGGTAGGTTCATGAACCGACGGCCAGGGTTCAAACTTCGTAGAGGCGTTCAGTCTCCAGAGTCCACAATGATTTTGCAGCTTACCCCACCTCTTGTTCGGTGCAACCGGAAGTAAAATGGCGCAAGCACGAGGGCGATTATTACCTCCAATTACTGCTGAAGTAAAAAATCTATAGATCTTTACTTACACGCCACCTCTGCACTTTCATGCAGTGGTACTTGCGCACAAGAACTACGTTTACTTCTTAGATCAGCATTAATCGCTTCACCCATCGTAGATTGCGGTTTATCTAAATAATATTTTTAAAAATTCCGACCTCACAGAATAAACATTGCTCTACGTTAAAAAGATCAACGTATTAATGTTGGCAAGGAACTAAAAGCCGTTTGTTATGAGAATTATACTGACTTCATTGGTCTGAATCGTTCTTGAGAAACAAACAGATGCTCAGCTTCTCAAGAAACAGACATTTCATTGCCGTGTTCACAACAGCACGCCACTGGCCTCTATCCTAAGCCAGATGAGTCCAGTCCGCATCATCCTGTCCCATTCCCTTAAGATTCATTGTAATAGAACCCTCCCACCTACATACTCCAAGTGGCCTCTTTCCTTCACGTGATCCTACCAAATTCGGTAGGATTTTTTATTCTCATTCATGCATGTTACATGGCCTACCTATCTCATCCTTTTTTTAAGATCGTTATTTAACGACGTTGTCAGCATCGAGACTATGTAGGGTCGATGATATGATGATTAACGATATGACGCAGGTGGTGGAATGAGAATTGGCTGGGGTAACCGAAGTACTCGGAGAGAACCTGCTCAGTACCACTTTCTCCGCCACAAATCCTACATAACCTGACCTGGGATTGAAACCGGGCCACTGCGGTTGGGCTTCTCATTCTTCTCCATTTGATATCTGGCGAGGAGTGTGCAAGTTATGAAGTACCTCATTATGTAATTGTCTCCAGCCTCCCGGTAGATCCCCCTCTCAGACGCAAACACATATCCTCAGCACCACACTCTCAGACATCCGTAGTCTATATGAGATCCACAAGAATCATGTGAGATTATATCGAAAAGTTCCCGGACTGTTACTGTTGCAAAAACCTCGATGGAAGAAGATGAGAGGGGAGGCCAAGGTCACATTTCCGCAAGTCTATTGCATCAGTCTGCCACATGACAACGCGCTATGAACACGCTTTGTTTTTACAAGAGTTCTTTTTGAACTTCGTGTTTCGTTTTGCTTGCGATGGTTGGCAAACTCGAGAAACGTGTCTGCACTAAGTTTTGCATGACGTTCGGTAAATCCACTACCGAAACCCTCGAAATGCTTGGTGAGGCTTTTGGAGAACATTCTTTAAGCCGAGCAGCGGTTTCTGAATGGCATTCACGTTTCACGGCCTCTCGAGTGTCAGTTGAAGATGACAAATGTTCAGGGCGACCAAGAACTAGCAACATGATAGAAAATGTTGAAAAAATTCGATATCTCGTCCATGAAGACTGCAACCGAACAATCAATGAGATTGCAGACACCGTTTGGACCTGTTATGGAGTTTGCCAGAAAATCTGAACATGCGCCCGATTTCCGCGAAGTTTGCTCCCCGACTCTCGATAAATGATCAAAAGCAGCGGCACATGACCGTGTGTCTTGGGCTATAAGAGAAGGCTAACGAGGACCCAACTTTTGTCTCTAGGATTATAACGGGCGATGGAAGTTCGATTTACAGTCACGATCCAGAAACAAAGCAATAATCGTCACAGAGGAAGAGCTCACAATCACCAAAAAGAAAAAAAAGGAGCGGCAGGCCCGCAGTTCAACAAGGAGCATTCCCACTGTTTTCTTCGACGCGAAGGGCACTGCTCACCGCGAGCATTA